GAGGGGGAGGGCGAGGAGAATGGCTAGGCGATGGTGAGGAGGATGGCGAAGGGGTGGGTGAGGGGAGAGGGAGTAAAAAGGCACGGCCGTAACCGGCGCGGCGCCGGTTGAATCGCCTCTCCGGCGAACGACTCTCCCGCCGGCGAACGACTCGCGCGGAGCGGTTCGCTAATCGCCGCTTGGAGCGCTGCGAGCGTGGGCGGCCATTCCGAAGTGTCGTCGGGCAGATGGTGGCCATTTCGCGACTATGGGGAAAGGAGCGACTGGAAGAATTTTGTTCCCTGATTTCTTGTCGGCGGTTACCGGAAGAGATGGCATTCCTCTGCGGGAAAGGGGAAAAAGAAAGGGTATTTTTTTGTGAAAATTGTTCGCAAGCTACTATGCGTGTATGTACGGGGACTTGCTTCCGGAAATATTGCCCGAATGATTTCAGTTCTTATGAGTCATGATGAATTTCAGTTTCTTATGAGCCGTGACATTAAACGGTTACTGGCATGAAGGTAAATGTAGGAAAAAAACTGCTAATGAATGTTGTTGAAAATAATAAATGGGTTGCAGAGGTATACCTAAAGGATGGAATGAGGATTGTAAAATACGTAAGTACAGTTAGTCAAAACTAAGAATGGAGAAAAACAGCAACCGAATAATACTATAAATGACGTTACGACAAAGACAGAATATTGAAGATTGAAAAAGAAGAAGCTGAATTTAATCATAGTTTAATCATAATAATATTAACATAATTACTGACATTAATGGATTCTAGAATTTGTTCTGAATTATTTCCCAAAATATCCACTTCAAGCCTGCTAATATTGTTTTTGTTGCAATCGTTTTTACTGCTACAGTTACCGTGCTGCTGATGGCGAGACTAGAGGACCATGAGTTTCGAAAACGCTCCCTCATTTCGATGCGATAATGCGATTTTAGGTAGTTTCAGCGCGATAAGATGCGAATTATTTGGTTGAGATTAAGCCGCTAATTAATTAGTAACCTCATGCCACATTGTTCGAATGCGATTGGCCACTAAACTTAATGCCCGGGATTTGAAGTAGTGTGTTTTAAGGCAATGCAATCTATAGAGATCATTTACATCAGGTGTGCATGCAGCTAATACGAATATGCATGTGGAAGCGAACCGGCACAAGAGCTGTCCTCGTTGATCCTCGCGAACAAGTGCGGTTAATTACATTTTGCATGGCTATCTTTTCGCCCCTGGAAGACGCCATCCTGAACTGTTAGCAAATGGAGAATGTTTGTTTATATGCGACGATTAGAGGTATGTTACATAGACCAAGGCTTAAAAAAACAGCATGATCATGGCCTTAAAACATCTAGTCAGAAAGAATTACGGGAGCCATTTGCCGTAGCGAGGTCTGAAACATATGCAAATGCAATTGGTTTCTCCGACAATTTCAGTTACTTGTAGATGTCAAGTGAAAGGTCAAATATCAATCGATAAGAATGCGGAAGCATTCTGGATGCCTATTTATTGATGAGACTATCGCTATTTATTTTTTGCCTTCTCTTACTCTCTATTTAGAATACCTCCTGCTCCTTCTCGAAAGAAATTTAAGCTGCTTTCAGTAATCTGATAGATCTAGAGCCATCAGACACAGAAAGGCGGATTCGCTTATGGAAACAAGTACAAACAATTGCAAGTAGTTCTGTAAAGAAAAGAGAGAAAGATAACTTTCGGTGTTTCAAAACAAGCAATTAATCATATGCTTATCAGTGGCGATAAACTGGTTAGCTTGATTCATTACTTGACGACACTCAGGATTACTATGGTAGTTGCTCTGCGCTACAGGAGCTCGATTCTCATTTGATCAGGCATCGATCCCAGCAAAGGACCTCAAGATCACAAAGGATTTTACTGTTACGGCTTAGAAGAGACGTACAAGATTTCTTAGACACTGAGGGGGACGTGGAAGAACCTGGAGATGCGTCAGTGGGCTGAAAAGCTGTCGCCGTAGTTTACAGATGTGTAGCCATATCACTGAAGGGGACGTTCGTGTGTCTGAAGGGGGTGCTTGGATGGGCGTGAATGGGAGTCTGAAGAGTGCATGCACGAGTATGAAGGGAGCGTTCAGGAGTCTAAAGGGAGTGTGCAGGATTCTAAAGGGGTTATGCGGGAGTGTAATGGGGGCGTACATGCGTCTGAAGGGGGCATGCACAAGTCTGAAGGGGGAGTTCAGGAGTGTAATCGGAGTGAGCAGGATTCTGAAGGGTACGTGCGGGAGTCTGAAGGGAGCGCCTATGAGTCTGAAGGGAGCGCCTATAAGTCTGAAGGGAGCGTCTATGAGTCTGAAGGGAGCGTCTATGAGTCTGAAGGGAGCGCCTATGAGTCTGAAGGGAGCGTCTATGAGTCTGAAGGGAGCGTCTATGAGTCTGAAGGGAGCGTTCAGGAGTGTGAAGGGGGTGTGCAGGATACTAAAGGGGGCGTGAGACAGTCTGAAAAGGGCGTGCATGAGTCTGAAGGGATCGTCTATTTGTCTGAAGAAGGCGTACAGGAGTGTGAAGAGGGGTGCAGGAGACTAAAGTGGACGTGCATGAGTCTGAAGGGAGCGTGTATGAGTCTGAAGGGGGCGTGCGCAAGTGTGAAGGTAGCAAGCATGAGTGAAGGGGGCGTAGAGGAGTGTGAAGGGTAGGCTATCAAGTACTTTGGAAACCAGGACAATCTTCACGCGGAAGGGCGCCTGAGAGCGCTAGCCGCGGGCCGGCACGTACCCGCGCGTAGCCAGGTGAGCGAGCGTCGCGCGCGGGCGTCGCGGCCGCGCGCCGCCAGGTGCACGGGCGACTCGGGCATCCAGGCGAAGGCGAGCAGGAAGAGCGCGGGCAGGGCGGCGAGCGAGCCCGCGAGCGCCGGCGGCGCCAGCACGGCGCCCAGCACGTAGGCGCTGAGCACGCCGGCGTTGGTGGCCAGGTCGAAGAGCACGCCCGTGCAGCCGCGCACCTGCGCCTCGGCGATCTCCTCCAGGTAGAGCGGCGCCACCACCGTGATGGCCCCGCAGCACGCGCCCTGCAGCGCGCGCCCGCAGAACAGCAGCCACACCTGCCGGGCACGCGAGGAATGGGGATGTAGCCAGGCGCGGAGCAGACACGCCTCCAGGCGCGGCGCGTATGTCACGACATTGAACACGTAGGCTTCCGCGGCGTCACCCGGACAGCCTAGAAGTTATGTTACGGCATTGTTCATTTAACGCAATTACTTACATATCATTTATTTAAAAAATAAACATTAGTTGATTCATATTTTTGCTCTTGGAAGTTTTAATTATATGAGTAGTCATTGCCAACAATATAGTTTACTACAATAGCAGCTTTCGATAGCTTAGCCATCATCATCATCATCATCATCATCATCAGTTTTCTGTTGTATGGAAGTCACAAAAACGACTACGGAAACTCGCCACAATACCAATATCTTGGAAGTTTACTGAACAATTGTAATGCCGGTCAAGATGGCTGAGGTAGTTAGGGCAGTAGTGCTGTAGCGGTCTCGGACCGGAAGACCGTCTCGAGCTTGGCTCTAATTGTATATGTCTATGTGTGTGTGCGCCCTTTCATCTCTCACTCTCATCATCATCTTCATCATCATCATCATCATCATCATCATCATCTCAGCATTCATGCCCCCAGGGCTAACAACCTTGCGGGATAAAAATCGGGATTCACTTAAAATGTTGATCTCCCCCAGATAATGGTACTTGCACTTGCTGAAGCAGGATGCACGCATGATCCGAGTTGGCCTTTTCGCGAAAAAAACAAACAAAAACAATTGTAATACTAACTAAAAGCAAACTGTTTGAAAAGCCATATTCTTAGTTTATCAATTATCTTAAGAAACAGGGTAGTTTTAAAATTATTATCTAACTTAACATAGAATTAGTGTCAAAATTATTGTGTATTTTAATTGTTAAAAAAGGTATCATCATACTTCCCACATTTATGAGCACATCTCTTCACCGATTTTATTGGCATGAGCCCAGATTTGGCATGCGAAACAATGAGCATGCAGACTGTTTGTTTCTGAAAAAAGGATTTCCAAATTCACGGCTTCCACCTTCTTAACTAACAAACTTTCGAGATCTGTTGTACTGTTACTTTTGGGGGCTACTATTTCGATGAGGCACGCACCATTCCTCGTGCGACGACTACACAAAGACAGAGTACAAACCAGGGATACTCGAATGCGCGAATTGTGGACTAGTTGCCCTTGAAGACTTCATGGTTTAAAACAAAAGAAAGTGAGCTTACAAATGATTCGTGTGTTTAATATAGTCTTTTGCTTCACTTCGAAAAAAAAAAACATAATAATTTCGTCAAAGGTCCCGGTAGAATTAGTAATATTTGATAGCCTCCGAGATTTCCAGACATTAAGTTTTGGGGATATACGTTTCGATTCTGCCCATCGAGTCACCCATCAATTTAAAAAAAACATTCGATCTCAAGAAAGCTTTCCCTTCGTGCTCACGATTTAAAACATTTCTTTTCGCCATAGCACCACAGTCAAGGCATAATGTTCATGCTTATTTGGATTATAATTGGAAATATTTTTTTCGTGCGCGTCACGAGGATTATCCGAATAGATACTAACGAAATGTGTCGATTGATATTTCCTCGAACAATTGTCACTCAAACAGAAAAAAAAACACAGCTAGCGAAGGAATTATTGAAAGAATTTTTTTCTGTAAATAATTCTATGAAATTCTACTTAAGCGTCATTAAATGTTTTGTGCGTTTGATAATGAAATTTAGAGAAACTCAAACAGCTATAGGTATCGAAATCCAATTAAAAATGTTTATAGAACATACAAAATATTTCGAAGATCATGGTTTCTGGTTTCTTTTTTTAGTTTACATTTTCTTTAAGTTATATAAATACAATTAATACTTCTTCTGTAACTATGGATATTTAGAAATATTTTATTGTGGAGAATGTGTTTAATAGTATTCGTATTTCAATCGAAACGTAATTGAGTGAAGGAAGTGGGTTAGATTATGT